GACTGACGGTGGCCAGCGGTCCGATGTCAGAACCCCCCCCCTCCCCCCAAAAAAAAAAACAGATCGCAGGGAAAGGTTTACTCTGCTAGATATAGCAGTGTGAACCTTTCCAGGAGAAAATGTTTCTCCCGTGGGCGGACGGGAACCGCTATCTAATATCGGGAGACTCTCGGAGCATCCGGGAGAGTTGGGATGTCTGTAATCGCAGCATATTTGAATACATGTGAACGTCTGTGAGCACATCAGTTGTGTTTGCGTTGTAGAACATTTCTCGCATGCAACTGTTTGCGGGAATCGAACAGGGCAATTTGTGAGACTGCCAAAACGCAAGCGTGAATGGGGCCTAATACATCTGCAATATATTCAGCTGGTGACTAACTCCTTTCGCTGTCATATGTCAGTTGGCGCCCATTAGATGTCAGCCCCATATGTGATAGCAATAACGTTGAATGTAGTAAAACAAAAGTTTATACCTGCATGGGCAGCTTGTATGTCATACGTTAGTGACAGCAAGGGTCCTTGTGTTTACCCTCCTTCAGTCGACTTCCACACACACTAGAGCTGGTGTGGCCAACTCTGGCCCTCCAGCTTTGCTTTAACTACATATCCCAGCATGCCATTGCCATTTGGAGTCATGTCTGTAACTGTCAGTCTTGCAATGGGACTCGTAGTTCCACAACAGCTGGAGAGTTGTCCACCGCTGCACTAGAGGGTCCCCCACCATGTACCCTGGCCTTTGCTAGTTAACCCTTGCAGTGCATGGGCAGCACCCCTGCAAAGGTAGTTTTTTTTTTACCCAGAGATACACATCCCTTTCATATGGATAGATCCTTCTCATTTCACATGACACGATGTCAGCTGCACACATTTCAGTCACTTTGGCATCACATTAGCAATCACTGCTTTCTGTGCCAGCGTAGAAGCCATCTGTCTCATTGATCTCGTTAGTTATTCTTTCATTATGTTCAAAGACGAGCCCTGGATGCCAGTCACATGACCCCCAGCCTGTGACCCGTCCGGGCAAAGTATACGTCCGCACATCGCAAGGACCCCAAAGCCCAATGTAACTGCGAAATAACCTCAACTTGTCCAGCGTTACCTTCGCTCCATACATGGGCAGGGTGGGCGGGGCGAGACAAAGGGGAACGTTCCAATGAGAACGCTAGACTCGGCTGGGAGGGGGGGCGTCGTCTGTGACGTGATGTAGCGGCGAGGGAGGAGGAAGCGTGAGCGGCACAGGGTGCGTTTTCTCCAAGAGCGATAAACAAGAGAGGAGAAAAGTAAAGACTGCGAGAGAGAGAGGAGAAGAAGAAGAAAAGGGAGCGTGACAGGCAGAGCACAGGACTACACAGACGGCCGGAAGGAAGGCAGCGAGTTCTGCTCTGCACCTACTCACCGCAAGCTATAGCTGCTCTAGGCTTTTTTTTTTTGTCTTCTGTGACTTGGAAAGAATGACCGGGGGGAGCCGCAGTGGAAGGAGGGATTGAGAGAAAGGAAGCTGGGAGAACTTTGATCGCAGAGCGGATTGCGCCTGTGCTGAAGTTTGCGAGGAAGGAGAACTAAGGAGGAAAGTTTTTTTTAGCGCGCTGTCATTGCGTCAGATCCCAGATCATGTCACTGCCAGTCCATTCCCCGGTGTGATCCCCTCCTCCTCCTCCTTCGAGCTGCGATCGATCAGCCTGGAAAGTTTGCACAGGTGATCCGGGAAGTCTTCTGGATTTGTGGCGTGCGGAATACAATTGCGTCTCTGGCACTTGGGGCTGGTGCTTCTGACGCTGCTGCCCGGGTCCAGCCGGGCGCTGGTGTGTTTACCATGCGATGAGTCCAAGTGCGAGGAGCCCAAGAACTGCCCGGGGAGTATCGTGCTGGGCATCTGCGGCTGCTGCTTCATGTGTGCCCGGCAGAAGAACGAGACCTGCGGGGGAGTCTACGGGCTGCATGGAGCATGCGACAGGGGACTGCGCTGTGTGATCCGCCCCCCGCTCAATGGCGACTCCATCACCGAGTATGAAGTGGGGGTCTGCGAAGGTATAGTAAAATATCCCCCCCCCTCCAATATTTAACTCTAGGCTTGTGATCGAGCCCTGCTGTCATTGTGCTCAGATCGCCGATGTCACTGCAATCATCAGCCTCAACTTTTCTATACAGGGATCTATATCAAATGTGGGCACCATCCCAACCTGTACATATGATCATTTTATAAAACATCAATAGGGTTTATTGGCTGCTAGATGAAGACATCAGGAGCTGTGACACCAGGAATTCCAGGGTTATAATCTACCATTATCAGATGATTAGTCTGCCTGGAGAGGAGAGAGGGATAGTTATTGGATCAGATATATCATCATTATCATCCCACTATTATCCTCTTCATCATATCACTAGTCTCATCACCACCATCATCTTCATATCACTAGTCTCATCATCACCATCATCCTTATCATATCATTAGTCTCATCATCACCATCCTCGTCAGATCACTATTCTCATCATCTCACTCCTATCACTATCATCATTATATCACTAGTATTGATGTTATTGTTATAATATCAGTCCAGTAATATCATTATCAGATCACTAGTATTATTGAAACCTTATTATTATTGCTGCTATCATGACTACTATCATCCATCATTTTTATTGTAATAATACACTCACTGTTACTATTACCATTATGAACATTATATTATCATTATATAATTCTTCTAATTATCGTATTGCTATCATCATTTATCATATTCACTGTTATTATTATAGTTATTATTGTGTCACTACTATCATCATCATCATTATAGTTATGTCACTACTATCATCATCATCATCATCATCATCATCATCATCATCATCATCATCATCATCATATCACTAGCATAATAATAAGCTTACTACTACTAACTTTATCATCATCACTATTATTATTATTCTACTGATATTTTATCAGTATTATCACCATCGTATCATTCTTATCATATAACTGTTATTATTATTCTGTCACTACTATTATCATCATCACAAGTGTAATAATTCTATTATCTTTATCATATCGCTATTCTTAATAGTATTATACTGATCTTCTATCACTATTATGATTGTGTTGGGAGCCCACGCAGTCCGAGATGACGATTTTGGAAAAAAGTGAAGCCAAAAATCATGAAGTGCAGCATGCTTGCAATTAATCAGGGCAGACTGTTCCTCTAATTGTTAGAAGTGTGTGCACTCAGACAGCATGTACACTTAATAACAGGGTTGTTTGCTGTTCTAGATTGCTGATGGCTGATAAGAAAGCTTCTGCCAAACCTCTTTGCAGTGTAGTGTTATGGTACCTCATTTGGAAGCTACACCAGCCTCATGGATCCCAGAGATAGGATGCTTGTCGGTGCTTCTGATCACATTGTTTTAGTAGCAGAAGAATCAACTTGGTTAGTAAAAAGCCGTTCTTCAATCCTGTGAACGTGGGGTTTCCGCCTCCTTTGTGCGGAGGGGAACGGGACAAAAGTGTGCATGCAGAAAAAGCATGCACATGTTCTATGGTGTGCTACAGACCGACCCTGGTTTTTAGAAAACAGGGCGCCTTCTATTTACAGAGAACAGGATGCCTTCCATGTGTAGAATGTCGAGGTATGCTGTAAGAGCCGGTGCTCAGAGATCACGGGAGAGTTTTATGTGGATAATGAAAGCAGAGTCATGTGTGACTTATTAAAAAGCAAAGTACGTCAGTACACAAGAGACGGGCTTGTGCCTAGTAGTGTAGGAATTAGCAAAGTGATGCAGTGGATCCCTGGAGGATGCTTGATCAGTTACAAAGAAGGTCTTTGGCAGGAAGACATGCACACCAATTCCATGAAAGACGAGGTAGATTAGGTCATTCTTTGATTGCTTTTCTCTATCGTCCATGCCGTGTGTGCATGTGTATAGATGAGCAAGGGGGGCGGAGGGGTTTCTGGTATAATTTACCTTGCGTCTTCTGAATGTTCAAATATTAAGCTACAGATAGGAAATAGTCTGCAGCAAAAATAAAAATTGCCTTTGACCCTTTAGTTTAGAATAGTCATCCCAGGCTTTGCTGCCATTCCGTGACTTTCCTGTATCCATTCTGTTAATGCAACAGGTTGAACAAGTACCACGGCTGCTAAAATAGCAAGCCCGCCCCATCGCTCCATTTGACGGCAGTCTCTATAGATTACAAGAGACCCATAATCCAACCTCATTTGTAGCGCAGCTATTTCTAGTGCAGCTTTCGATAACCATTCCTTCCACTTCTGCATCCAGGAGAAAATTATGACTGGTGTTCTAGTATAATAGATTTCTATTCCTGGAGAAAGTGGCCCAGCATTGGGTATTCATGTATGGATGCTATCTATTCAGTGCTCATTCTGTTTATTTAGACTACAAAGTAGTAACATGCCATGAATGTAAATAAGTGTAGCATTGTGTAGTAAAACCTTACTCCAGAACAAACAAAGCCACGATGAAGAGCATGTGACTAAAAAGTCTGGAAACTCGTCAAAAATTCATATCTCCTGTTACTGTTATTTTATAATATTCTAGAGCATCTTCTGATATCTCTGCTGTAAACCAGTAAAAGGTTGAATATCATTGGTTGCCGTGACAACTGCACTTTGCACTTGACCATTGCTTCCTTCATTGCTTTGTTAAATAAGCCCACATAGGTCTACATGTAAGGCTTTTAGATTTGTCCTTGGCCATGAAAGGTTTTTTATTTTCTTTGTTTCATGCACTTTATTTCAGATATCAAAATGCTCGGTGATGCAAAAGGCACATGCCATGGATAAAACCCTCTGGAGTAGTAGTTGTACAAAGAGAGTTTTGGTGAAAATGTATTGCAGTTTAATGGGAAGTGCTGGTCTCAATGCAAAGACTGAAAGATGAGCCCTTCCTAAAGAAAGAAGGCGGAATTGCTTGATGCTATCTATCTAAAGTGATTCCATTTCAAGGCCTCCGTGTCTTGTATTTTAGTAGGAAAAGGTCTCCAGAGGCTTTCAAAGTCACCAGCAGATGTTTAATGCTGATGTTCCCTGCCTCCTTCCTTGCTCTCCTGTCAGACTTAAGTCTATTGCACTGTGCTGCGGACTGAACAAGATATATCCTAAATATCATTTACTGCTGCAGAAACAATTCACTTAACCTCAGAGGAAACGGCAGTGAGAGTAGTATACGTTGTTCTTCAGTTGCCTCGTTTAGAATCAGTTGACCTATAAACACTACTTTGCTGTTATTTTCCAATATTTATTCTAAATATATTTAGCGATTTAAGTATGATTGGCAGCATATTTATCGTGCTTTTCAGCGAAACCGATATTTACAGAGTGGATGATTATCATACTGTTTAAAACAAAGGGTAACTACAATGGGTAAAGGCAGACTTTGCATATCCTAAATAGCTGAACTAATCTGGTGTAAGACTAGCCTTAAAACGCTCTGATCTTTTTCCCAATGCTGACAGGCGCGCACATGCAGTACTCTGCTCCTTAGAAGAGGATCGCACTGCTTGCTGGGACGATTTCCCAACAAGTGAAAAATCTCCATGTAGAATAGCAAGTGCCTTCTACTTCTTGAAATGTTCACCATTGTTTTTGAGAAACAATCTGAGAATTGGAAGGAATGCTCAAAATCAGGAGCCTGGTTGTAAATGGCCATTTGTACTTTAAAGGGTCAAGTCACCTGAAACGTAATTTTGAGTTTTTGGTACATGCCAGAGGTTGTAAGGTTCCAAAGTGAAGCTGTTGGTGAGGTATCTCTGCTTTAATCCTCACGCCTGGACACCAGACCTAGCAAATACATAGGGTTTTCATACCATCATGGGATTTTCCCCCTTCCCTATTATCCTTAAAGCCTTACTTCTTTTTCTGCGGCTCCGTGTCGGAAATGTGTACTAGAGCTGCATCAGCCACCTGATAGGCAGTTTGGATTTGCAGACCCGCACACGCATATAAGGGCCACATTTGTCAATAGCCAATTAACCTAACAGCATGTCTTTGAAGTATGCAACCCATGCAAGCACAGGGAGAACATACAAATCCCGTGCAGGTAGTGTTCTGGCAGAGAGTCAAACCATGGACCCCCCCCATTGCTGCAAAACATAAGTACTAACCACTAAGCCACTGTACTTCATGTTGGATTTTATTTTCACAGGTTATTTTGTCATTTCTAATAGAGAATGCGGTAGCAAAAAGTGTAAGGACCCTCCTGTTGTAGAAGGATCAATGAGGCTCCAAAGAGGGTGGGAATAGGACCAGAAATTATGGTGGGAAAATGTCATGACTTTGGGCCCCTAGAAAGTTCTAAAGCATTGAGAGTTTTAAAAGTATATGGCAAGGCGATGTAACAAGTCAGGGTACCGTTATCTATACGCATTGTTTTAGTCCTGTAAAGGGCGTGGGTGGAAGAACAAAAACATAGTATGACTGTATTCAAAACGTGTTTTTTTTTAAAATTGGTTTGGACTATAGTGATGGGTTAGAACCACATTCAGGTTTTTATTACGATTTTTATTACTGTTTGTATTGCTGTTAGGGAGGTTCACTTTCTCTAATTTCCTTGATCACCAATGTCATCATGTCCGTACAGACACAGTAGCTGCTATGTTCTCACATGGTATCTGTTTTACCCAATGATAGCCCCAGCATTTTATCGTCCTACTGCCAAATAGCTCTCAATGATCTCTGGTGACCGGGAATAGTCCAGCCCTGTGTAAACACAGTGTTAGCTGAAATGCCAGCATGCCCAAGTGAGAGGAATGGCCAATAGCTGGCAGCTGTCACTGTATTGCGCTGGCAATTTGTAGTGCTTGCTTTCACACATGCTGCTTACTTCTACTGTGTGATTTTTTTTTTTTTTTTTATTTCACAAGCTTTGCTTTTCCTAAATGCTCAGCACAGTGTTTGCTATGTTGTGCGTGAGGTGTCCCAATTATTAAATGAGAGCTTCAGCATCTCTTGACATTGGAAATCTTTCTCCTAAAGCTTTCCCTGTGCGGTGACCTTCTCTACTTGGAAGGGTGTGGAATG